TATTCCTATTTCTGATATGAGACAGGAAGGATATCATCCTAACATACTATACAGTTTGATCCAGGAATTCAGCAAGAACATAATTAATTAAATGCTAAAGTATTGCTGGGACATTCACCAATACCCCAGCATTTATCATGCCCAGAATGTTTGTAGAAGACCCATCTTCTGCTGGCTGAAGACATGATTCAGATGAGATTAGAGGACTCCCACAAACCCAATTTGGTACAAATTCATATCCCTCCCACCCTGATCTCCTTCTAAAATGTCAGCAGGTAATGGCTATGAACCATAATTTCATTCTAGCCCCAGTGCCACTGTGAATCTCTCCCTCCCTTCAGGCACCAGTCTCAGGGGTCAGATGAATATATTCCACAGGTAAATTCACCTGAATTTACTCCCTCAGTATCTTGTCTTTTGAGCCCACTTAGTATAAAACCTGCTTATGGAGTTTCAAGGTACCAGCTAGAGATCAGTGAGACAGTCTCAATCGCATTGTAGAGCTAAGTGGTCTGTCCTTCCCTGCTAAGAAATAAACCAAGATGGTTTCCATCTCTTTCCTCCCAATGCCAAGGTGACTGTGCTCAAGAAGGGGCTTCCATGTGTCCTGCCCGGGTGATTCCTGTTTGGGCAAGCTGAATTGATACCAGCACCACTTGATAAAACACTTATACTGGTGCAAAAAAGCCCAAAACACCATGCTAGTAATGGCCACCTTGCACGCACTACCTGTCCCCTATATCTGCCTGCCATAGTAGGAGAAGGGCCTCCTAACCAACCAAACCCCATTCCTCAAGATTGGCCTTCCACTATAACCATTCAACCGTTCATTCAAGGATGTATTTCCGCCAAGAGACACTCGCGAATCTCCTAACCTGCTATTAAACAACACAATCTTCTGAAGCCCTTGTGGACGGGCCCCAGACCCTATGTTGACTTTTACCACGAGAGTCATCATAACAAGAGACTTGATCCTTCATTGTCACTTAAGTCTCCAGTCCTCATCTATTGAACCTCAGTCTGAAAGGACTTCCCGACTCTCCTGGATGACCCTCTTTCCCACTGACTTAACCATGGAAGTTGCTCCCACTAATCCCTGTGCAGGATTAATCCCCATTGGCTAAATCTACTTCCCACTAGCCTGACAAAGATGATGCAAGGTTCCATGTAGGAGAGACCATGAAGATAAATTGGATAACCTCTCCCCCAGGTGGCTGAGATCTCCTCCAGGCTGCCAGCAATCTGGGGTCTAGAGCAGCCTGAGCTCTTGGTCTTCAATGCACCACTTCCTCTTCCTCTCCCATCAATCTCTCAAATGGGCTACCATGTCCACGACTCCCGCCAGACCTCTGAAGACCAAATGTCCTGCTTGGCAGTTTTGGGGTTCCTTTCTCAGACCTCAAGATACATCTACCCCGAGATGGCCTCCTCCCAGATCAAAGTAGCCATTGGCTGATTAAATTTGATGTACAAGCTACCAGTGCCTTCTTGACTCTTTCCCAACATGGTGTTTGATTGTGCCGGGTGCCTCAGATGTAGAAGAACTCAGAAACTCCTGCTTTGAAATGCTACTAACTCTCCAGCAGGGTATCTCTCTTCCTCCATAAAAAAGAATGGAATCACAGACTGTTGGAAAGGACCTCAACAATCCTGAGAAAGAAGCCTAACCCCAACAGACTTAACAAGTGGTCACTCAGCCTGGGCTTAACCACCTCCAGGGAGGGCAAAATGATATTCTCTCAAGCTAGCCCATTCCCCCAGGAGTCAGCTCCAGCCTCAGTTGGCCTTTTCACCACTTCCACCATTGGCCCTGGTTCTGCCTCTAGGGCTAAACAGAACAATTATATACATACGCACACATACGTATATACATACATGTATTCAAACAGAAATACATACACCACTACCATTCTCTTAGATGTCCCCTAAGCCATAAATGCTTATAAATCATGGAGTCACTCCTGCTAATCCCTGTGCAACCTGAACTAGTCTTTCTCAACTTATAGAAGAAGAGAGGGCTGATTTCATCCTGCCAAGGTAGTTGGGACCACAAGGAAGTCAGAGGTCTGGAGCTCTTGCCCATAATCCCTGGGCAGAAATGGAGGGAGAGCAGATGCCAAGGCTGATGGATCGATTGAGTCTTGGGGTCCTGAGCTGCCACAGTCCCAAAGACAATTGTGTCTCCATACTAAGCCTGGTGAGTCCCTGAGTGTGGAGGGCTACCAGGCTGCCTAAGGAGGGGCAAAACAGCCCAGGCCAGAATGAGGCCAGATCAGGTTAAAGCTTCCTTGCCCATCAGGACTGGCATCTAACCTGTGTGTGCCATTGAGCTTCAAGCCTAGGCAAGATAGGGAGACCAAGACAGAAGAAAAAGGGGAAACTGGGGCAATTATCTGTGGCCCAGAAAGTCAGCTCCTAGTGCCAATAACCCTGACAAGGACACCAGTCTCTGCTTCTTAGGTTGACTCCAGCCAATCTGTACAAGTTGAGAAAGTTCAAAATAGTGAACCAGGGTTTCTGAATTGGCTCTCACGCCGCAGAGCTGGCTGCTATGTCAGGAAGAAGTGAAAGAGCCAGATGAGGCCTCCGTGGGACTTCGGGGAGCCCGGTTTCCTGGGTGGCTTTGTCTCTGTGCCTGTGGGTTCCCCTTCTGTCGCACTGGATAGCTTCAGCAAGGGTCTGTGCTGCCCTGCTGATGGCTATACAATGCACATTAAAGGTCTTGGGCAAGGATGACACTGTGTCCCAGTGACTGTTAAGACAGTTGCATCATTGATAGTACTTTCCAAGCCCTTTCCTATGTCATCATAGGCCATGGGTGTCTACAATCACGGTTTATAGGATCCTAACAGGGTAATTCTTACCTCCCTTCCCCTAGGATTTGTTATTCTAGTGGGATAATCTTGCACAATCAGACACACAGTTAATTCTTGACTCTCAGGTTTAGGTCATCACAGACCGTCCTCAGAAGTTAATGTGCCCTTGTCAGTGTGACAGAGTGGTTAAAGATGGGTAAGATCGCTGGCAATCAAGACACAGCCATGCATTCGTTGATAAGGCTCCCAGGAGTGATCTACAGAGCGCGCCTGACGCCTTGGTGGATCAGCCTGTCCTTTCCTCCTGGCGCAAAATCTCATCAGGCAGTATCACAGCCACACCAGCAGTGTTTGCATTACTCCAACCCCAAAATGCCCAAGGAAATACTGCCTGGGTGCTGGTGCAATTACCCAAGTGCCCTCGGTGAGGTGCTAACAGTTGTTTCCAAAGCACCTGCGATTTCTAAAGCAGGGGGAGGTTTAGAAGGTGGTGAAACTGGAGAGTCAGAGCTGCTGCCCCAGCGAATGGTGGGAAGTGGGAGTCTAGGCTAGAAGCAGCTCCTTGCTGCATCTCCCAGACAGGGGGACTGATGGACACACCCTTGTCCCCAGAGGAAGAGAATCCTTTCCTCCCAATCTCACCCTATTCAGATCCCTCCTCCAAGTATGATTCCCAGCACGCTGTCCATTCCCCATCCACACACTCCTTTCTGCCTACATGCTCCCCTCAGTTTCCTGGTCACAGCCCCTGTCCCTCTCCTTCCCATGCCATGGACTACCAGACAAGAAGTGTGCTGCCCAGGATCAGGGTATGTGTGGGGAGACGGCATTGGCAGACGCCTCAAGAGGCAGCGGTACCTAGGTGGTGCAATGGATAGAATGCTGGACCTGCAATCAGGAAGACCTGAGTTCAAATCCAGCCTCAGACACTGACTAGCTGTGTGACGGTGTGCAATTCATTTAGTGGCTATCTGCCTCAGTTTCTTTAACTGCAAAAAATGGAAATAATAAAGTCACTATCTCCCAGGGTTGTTGTGAGACTCAAATAAGGATAATATCTATAAAGCACTTAGCACAGTGCCTGCCACATAGTAGACACTTAACAAATACTTGTTTGCATCTGTATACTGAGAGAGGGAGTCCTGGACACATCATGTCCATGTTGTCATGTCAATGTTCATGATGTCATTACATTGACACTATGGTATCAGCACAGGGGTACTCATGAACATTGCAGTGATGGCATCAACACATAGCTACTGGGGAGGGGCAGCTAGGTGGTACAGTAGACAGAGCACCAGCCCTGAAGTCAGGAGGACCTGAGTTCAAATCGGGCCCCAGACCAAACACTTGACACTTACTAGCTGTGTGACCCTGGGCAAGTCACTTAATCCCAACTGCCAAAAAAAAAAAAAAGACATAGCTACTGGGACATGGGCTTTGGAAGATCAGCACACAAACCCAGATAGTGTCTCAAGAGTGAATCTATAGTTCTACACCTGCATCAGTACAGATGTAGCAGAGTAAGGAGGGAAGATGCCCAGTATGCTACCCATGGCACCACTACCCAAGAGCATCCCCAGACCATTTCTGACTTCTCACGATTTGGTGATATATCCACAGAAATGTGCGTGCAACAGAGTGCAGAGGGGGCTGGGTTAGCGCACCAAGCCATGACATGGTTGATGCAATAAGACAAGAAAAAGGGAGATATTCCAAGCATGCTACCACCCCAAAAGAACACCTTCTCAGGCCAAAGAAGTTATGTGAGACAAGATATCATCTCCCAGATGCTTGCTGCTTCTCTCTGTAACCTGTTATCCCTGACTCTGTGGTAGCTTCTACAGCTTCATAAACCATTACTTTGATTCTGGTTTCTGCCTCCTGACATCTCCACAGCATTTGATAATCCTGGTGAACTTTGGCTCAACACAGCCTCTGGTCCTCTCCCTCTTCCCCTCTCTTCCTCTACTTCTCTCCCCCCCCCAAATGCCTGTCCCATTTCTCCTCCTCCCCCTAGAGGAGAGGACTCGGACTTCCCCCACCCTTGGGACACATCTGGGGTATAACTCGCAGTCCCTCTCAAATCCTCTCCATCTTAAAAAACCTCAATAGAAAGCCTCACCAGCCCACACCTTCCAATCACTAGTGACAGCCCAGCACCAACCCCTTTCACCATCTTACGTAAGCTTGCTATCCTCTCTTCCATTGGAACCTGGGAGCAGCTTGACACTCCAAAGCGGGTGACCCTGGGGTCAGGGCAATGGCAAGGCCCAGGACTGCACGTGTCAGTAATCCCTGTGGAGAGGATGGAAGAACAACATATGTGTCAGACCCAAGGCCAAGCTCTCTGACCAAAGCCAAGGGTTGGGGCCCATAGTGGTAACTTCCACTGACACTATGGTATCAGCACTGAGGCTTGTGATGATGGCATTGATACATAGACTGGACAGGGTCATGGAGCCCACCCCCCTGCCCCACAGCAGCATTTCCCTCCTCAGTGTCTTTAGATCTCTGGGTCTTTAAGCTGGCACTCGAGAGGCATATGGGGGTCAAAATAAAACCTTCCAGGCCATGTTTGACCAAGGCTGCTCCAAGAACCGGTGCCCTTTCTTAGAAGGATTAGCCACCACAAAGAGTCATTGATCTCGGTTTGAGTTCTTCCACAGTTCTGTGTCTTCCTAAAGATAGGTGGTAGGACCAAAAGGCCCCTGGGAATACACTGCTAAGAAACATTATAAACTGAGTTAGATTAGCAGAGACCTAATTTGAAAGAAATTAAACGGAGATTCGTAGAAATACAACTGTAGGCAAATAATAGTTCAACAAATCATGATCCTAAGTGAGGCTTCATTTACAGGGCCCCAGCCTTGTTTTAATCTCACTACAGGAGGCAGAGTTAGCCAGTGACCTCCTCAAAGACGCAGTGACATGTTGAGATAACAGTGGGATCAGGCACCACCATGACTCATCCAGCTCAGAGCTCCTGCCACGAAATCTACTAAAGGTGAGCTCCATTACTATGTCCTAGGGTACTACAAAAGGCTGCAGGCTGGGCTCAGGGACTGGGGTTAGGGGAACAGCATTTGGAAAGCCTGGTCCATAAGGATGAGGTGGCAAGTTTAATCCCACCACCCTCTGGATAGACTTAAATGATAAGACCTTCCCAGTCTGGAGAAAACTAGACTGAGAGCATCCTAAAATCATATGTTTAGAGCAGAAAGAGATCCTTAGATGTCATCTAATCCAATCCTTTCATTTTAAGATAAGGAAATCAAGGCAGAGAAAGGTCAAGTGACTTGTCCACAATTGCATGGATAGGAAGTATCAGTCAGAATGAACCCAGGTCCTTTGACTTCAGCTCTTTCCAGTGGACCATACTGCCTCCCATTTCTTGGGCATTGGTTCATATTTTCAGGATCAGGTTTACTGAAGGGCAATGTCTGCCCCAACAAATGCCCTAAAACCCAACTGCCATACCCACACCCTACAGAAGTGTTTAAGACACTGCCCTGCTCTATTCTCTTCCCAGACAATAGGACTTGCCCAAGTCTGGGAAGAGAAAGTAGCTTCAGCTTGTCCTTAGCATGCCCTTCCCACCCCACCTCCCCCCGCTTGCTCCCATTCTCCAACTCTACTTCTTCCCCAGAATCTCACGCTTCTCTGAGTGGCCCATGTGGAAAGTGTAGGCTGGGGCTCTGTGCTTGGAGATATCATGGCCAAGGTAACCAGTGCAGGATGGACGGAGGTACCTCCCAGGCCCAGGACCTAGCAGGGAGAGAGGAGAAGGCAAGGAGAAACGCCAATCCATCAGAATCTGGTGTGCCTTTGTCTTCCTAGGGATGATGAACAAGGCCATTCTTGGCAATCACTGTGAAGCAACCAGTTCTCAGTGCCGTGTGATATAAAGGAACCAGGAAGACAACCCCATCCTCCCACTTCCCACCCTTTCCATCAATATTTCCCCCATCACCGTGCCTGAAATTTTACCATTAGAGTTTCATTCCTTTGTGTTATGGTCTTGTCCCCTATAATAATACAATCCCCAAGTCCCTGGAACCTTTTTTTAGAGGAGGATGGAGGTCTCCACTCATTTTGGGGGGAAGGGGCTAGGCAAAGGGGTTAAGTGACTTGCCCAGGGTCACACAGTTAGTGAGTGTTATGTGTCTGAGGCCGAATTTGAACTCAGGTCCTCCTGACTCCAGGGTCAGTGCTCTACCCACTATGCCACCTGGCTACCCCTTCCACTCACTCTTTAACAGGGCCATAAGGACTGGGGTCTGCATAATTTCACGCCTCGAGGGTCGTGGTGAAAGACTCTCCTTTGGGTGCTCAGCATAGAAGATGATTTTCTTCAGTTTTTTCAGTTTTTTGGTCCCCATGATGAGGGGGCCTGGGATGCAGGTAGAAGGAACAAGTCGGCAAGAACTAAAGCTGGGAGTCAGGCCCTAAATCAACAGACAGCTAGATTTCTCTGTGGTATGTAGGGGAACAGGGTTTCCCACACACACCTCCCAGAGCTCCCTATCTCTTTCTATTTCACATCCCCTCAAAATTCTGCCTCTGTCAGCGACACTCCTCTGGCCCATTCAGCAGGGCCTGGGAAGAGCCCAAGCCCCTCGCATCACCACTTTCTGCAATTCAAGCCGTCTAGAAAATAAGATGGCAGTTGGAGTTCAGTGAAGGTCTTAGGGGGATGACATCAGATCGGAATTTGGAATCTGGAGGTGTGTTTATTTCTCCGTTGCCATAGAGCCCAGACAATGTCCTGGAGGTTCCTATGCAGACCCCATCTGCAGAACCCTTTGGATTCAGCCCACTCCCTTTACCCACCAATGCCTCCTAGGATAAATGAATAGGGGATGGGGAGGGGACAATGGGGAAGGAAGGGGTAGGGTGGGAGGACAAGGAGGTACCCAGGAGTTAGAAGGGAGATTGGTCATGTTACCAGAAAACTAGGTCATGTAGTTCTTATAAGGTTGGGGAAAGAGTTTGACAGGCAGACAAGCGGAATTATAGAATATTAGCTTGGTTAAAAGACCCTAGAGATATCCCAGGGATTCATTTCCTTGTTTATAAAGTAAAGAGGGTGGAATGGGTGACATTTAAGATCCTATCCAATTCCGACATCTTTGACATTATGAGTCTAGTCCAACCTCGCCATTTTGTTATTATTTAATTAACTAATGACCTTTTTCATTTTTTCTTAGAGTGGTAAGTAAGACACGGCGGAGAGAGTACTGGGCTTGGACTCAGGGAGACCTGAATCCAAATACAGCCTCTGACATTGCCTAGCTGTATGACCCTGAGCAAATCCTTCTATGTGCTTCAGGCAGCTCTCTAGGATTTATCAACTAAACCACAGAGGGGCTGTAATCTGCTACAAGGAACTCTCACTCCCCATGGGTGAAATTAGAGATACTTTGTCCATTCCAATATTATTTTTACAGGATACAGAAAATGGAAGTGAATAGCCTAAGACTGCACAGCAAGGTTAGTTGAAAGGGATGGTTTTGTGCAGTTGTCAGCTTGACTGCCCTTTTAGAGGTCAGATACCAGCCACTTGGGCATCCAACATTGTCAACTCAGGGGTCTATCTCCATTCTACCACGTCCCCTTCCACCCTGCCTCCTCCTCAAACTTTCTATCCTCACCCAGGCTGCCCACTAGGAGCACTGCTTTGGCCAAACAGTGGTATTGTAGACTCAGAAATAGTCAAGTGTCATAAACTGAGTCTTCAGTAACAAAGAGGCAGTGGATAGAGCACTGAGCCTGGAGTCAGGAAGACCTGAGTTCAAATCCTGCTTCAGACATTTACTAGTGGTGTGACCCTGGACAAATCACTTAAACCTCTGCCTGGGAGATGTGTAAAACAACTGTAACATTAAAAAATGAGGATAATAGCCCTACTTCCCTACCTATGGGACCTTGGGAAGTCATTTTCCCCTTTCGGGCTTTAATCTCCTCATGTGTAAGATTAGATGGAAGGGTACCTTCTAGCTCTAAATATATGATTCTGCAATTGGCAGAGGGGCACCAGGAGGAGGCACAAGACTAACTCAGGTCTCCCTCACCTTTGTTTCTCTTAAGGAAGTCACTCTTCAGAGTACTTATCCCCTTTTCTTCCCATCAGCAGCAGTATTCATATAGTGCCTTAATATTTGCAAAGCACTTTACCTATGTTATCTCATTTTTATCCTCACAATATTCAAGATGTTATTATTACATCCATTTTACAGATGAGGAAATTATAGTAGATGGCAGTTAAGTTAATACAAGTTACTATAACCACTAAGTTACTACAACTAGTAAGTGTTGAGGCAAGATCTAACTCAGGTCTTTCTAAGTCCAACGTCCTATCCACTGTACCACTTACCTAATTGCCTTTTCCATCAGGAAAGGAAGCACAGGACCTTAAACCAGAGACTTGACCCAGGAAACTACGTGAATTTGCCAGAACCCTCCAAAATAATAAAAAAAAAAAATTTAAAAAGCACCTAATTTCAGACTCTGTGAAGAAAACAAGGAAGATGAATGTCCTGCTGTGCACTCCTCTGGTAGCTCCACCTCTGAAGGATCACCTTTAGTACTGGGCACATTCTAGGGCTGGAAAGCATGTGACAAACTGGAGCATTGCCAAGGCTGGTGACTAGGATGGTAAAAGATGGAGACCAAGCCTCATGAGGACCGGCTGGCACAACAGCAGCTCTATAGCCTTCAGATTTCTGACAGACTCTCAGAACCAAAAGGAGTCATGGGATAAAGTCACCAGGAGGCAGTCTCAGTATAAGGACTATTTCCTTAACACATAGAGCTGTCTGACAATGGAAGAGGAAGCATGATAGGATTATGAGCTCCTCGTCATTGACAGCGGTCAAGCAGAACCTGGAGGTCCCTCGTTAGGAATCCTGTACACCAGATTCCTGAACGAGGTAAGATGTTGGATTAGATGATGCCTGAGGTCCATCCCTTCCAACTCCCTGATTCTGTGACTTGGATTCATCTTTACAGAATCATGAACCAAAGCATGCTTATTTTTGTTCTCATTAAAAAAATTACCAGATGAAGCCACTTGAACCACTGCCAGACCAACAAATTTTCCTGATTTTCTAAAATAACATAATCACTTGTTGACATGACCAATCTTGGCTCCAGAGAAGCAACAAATAAGTTGTACTTCCCTTGATGAGGTGGGGGACCATAAGTACAAAATGTTGCATTTTCTATCAGATGTGGTCACTGTGTGGTTTGGTTTTCCTTAACTGTTTTTCTTTGTTACAAGGAAAGGCTCTCTGGGTGGAGAGATGGCTTGCCTGTAAATGACATGTATAAAAACAAAAAGCATCAATAAAACTTTAATTAAAATGTTTAAAAAGAAAGGGGGAAAAAATGACTGAACCAAGACCAAACTGAGATCAGGACCAAAGGAGCTCAGCACAGAGAAGCTGCTTCATTATCACTGAGATAGAAAATGAATGAACTAAAATATTCCAGCCCAAGATCCATTTTCCCTAGGACATCCACTTCCCTTAAGACCATCAATCCATTCCAGGCTTGCTTCTGACAGTGCCCTCTGCCTTCCTAGGGAGATGAGAGAGAGTTTGGTTGGAGTCCCAGTTATAGCACAACATTGGTTGGTGCAAAGTCCTGGGCACAGAGCCTCCTCGCTCCTCCTCGTCAGCTTTTCCAATCCACTCCTGAACAGAGGCAGCAACAGCAGGGAGACGGGGGGGGGGGGGGGGGGGGGGGGGGGGGGGGGGAGAGAGAGAGAGAGAGAGAGAGAGAGAGAGAAGGTCTGTGTGTCCCAGCCAATGTGGCCTCCTGCCTTGTTTATAGGCCTCTGAGGTACAGAAGGAGGGCTTGAGGAAAGGGAAATTGGGGAAGGGATGGAGGGTTGGGAACCCCCTCCCACTGCCATCTCTCCAGCTGGCCAGACTCCCTGGCCTCACTCCAGTCCTCATCTCTGAAATGTTTCCACATGAGGCCCCACCCTTGCCCCCTACTTCTCCTCTGCGTCATCCCCAGAGGTTGGTCTCATTTAGGAAACTGAGGCCTGGAGCTTCCTTCACTATACAATCCCACCACACCCTGGAGTCCAGAATGAAATCTAGCTTCCAGCAAAGCTATGGGCTCTGTCTCAGGCCCCCTGAGGAAATGGGTGGCCAGGCCTGGGTGTTAAAGAAAGAACAAAATTCAAATCTGCTTTTCTATCCGCTGCCCTCTCTAGTTACTCAGTAACCTCAATAATTTAATAATTACCCCCTCCACCATGTCTCAGAGTAGCCCCTCTGTCCACACTTTCCATCTCTCTTACTGCTATTCGCCTCTCTATAGGGTGTGGATGCCCCCCTTCTCAGTTACAGAACAAAGCAATAAATGCATTTTCACAAGAGCTTGAGGCAATTTAGGAAAGGGTGAAAATACAAAAAATCAACAAGAGTTCTAGAAATACCAAGTTACAGAGTTTAAGGATGCTACCCTAGGAGACCGTCATCTATTCAGATATGCCTCAGAGAACACAGAGCCTGAACTCATTCCTATTCCCCATTCAGCAATGCCAGGCCTAGCATCTACTGGAAGCCACCATCTTGGCCCCAGAGGATGGTGCAGCATCTGACTAGGATGACCCAATGGGAATTGAGGGGGCGTCTCTTGCCACCAACATCTGACTGCTGTAACTCTGCCACACTAGCATAGCTTCACCCTTTGTCCAAAGTAATGGCCTCTTTCCCAAGTCGAGGTTTTCAGTATAACATGCAATATACAGGTATAGTGGTAGTTTCTATGATATGTTTTATCTTTGTGGTAGGCTAGGGATCCCTTGAAAGTTTCTCAAGTGGGGGGACAGAATTGTTAGACACTGGAAAGTAACAAGATCTGTTTGTGGCCTTGGTTCCCTTTTTTCCTTCCTTTCAACCATGAGAGACACTTGCTGATGGCAGTGTGGGTGGTGGGAGCCACTAATTGCCATTGCTGCCGTGACAAGAGATAGGAGCAACCTTGATCTTAAGAGATGCTTCCTGGTCACCATTCTGGGTAGCAGTCAGACTAGCCTTTAGGATTAGGACTGCGAATAGTGGCAGCAACCATGTTCAATTGCTGCTGAAATATGAGACTTGGTCAGCTCCAGATAAAAAGGAACCAGATACCCATAAAATAAGAGCCATTCCCCAGTTGATAAATGGTCAAAGAATATGAACAGTCAGGTTTTGGAAGAATAAATCAAAGCTATCCATAGTTACATGAAAAAAATGCTCTAAATCACCACTGATTTGAGAAATGCAAATTAAAACAACTCTGAGGTACCACCTCATACCTATCATATTGGCCAACATGACAGAAAAGGACAAATCCTGGAGGAGATGTAGAAAATTGGCACACTAATGCATTGTTGGTGGAGTTGCAAAGTAGTTCAACCACTTTGGAGAACAATTTGGAACTGCACGCAAAGGGCTATAAAACTTTGCATACCCTTTGACCCAGCAACATCACTACTATGTCTGTATTCCAAAGAGAGCAAAGAAAAAGGACCCATGTGTAGAAAAATATTCATAGCAGCTGTTTTTGTGGTGGCAAAGAATTAGAAATTGAGAGGCTGTCCATGAACTGGGGAATGGCTGAAAAAGTTGTAGTATAGGATTGTAATGGAATACTATTGTGCTATAAGAAATTATGA